GCAATGATCTTAGTGATCTTTTTGAATAACAGTTGGAATTTTCTTCCAAAGATCTATTAATTTGTGTCAATTTAATTTGATAGTACATATAAAGTGTACAGTTAAAAAAAATGCAAATATGGACATTCAATTTTTTTGTTATTGGAGTGCTGATATAACTTAAGGGGATTTGGATTTTGACAGTGGAGAGGTTGCTCTGTATTCTTTTACGAAAAGCTAGTTTACATAATCCGGGATGAAAAAATTCTTAACAAATACGGAATATCATTATCGGTTTGGTGCTTTTCATTTGTGCATTTTATTAGTATTACATATTTTCAGACCATAAAATCTTTGGACTTTGGACTACTTTAAATTGAAATTCTTGTATTTTGTCCCAAAATAGAAACGAAGATCAATGAAGCAACGGGATATCTATAGTTATTTATAATTTCTTTTTGCACTATTTTTAAAACTATATAAATTTTGTTTTGATTTAATTTGTTACTGTTTTGTTACTGTTTTCAAGAAATATTCAATAAGACAGTAAATGGTTATGTTATTCAATTAATAAGACAGTTTAAAGTCAGCTGAATTCTGTCTTTCTTGTAATATGACATATCGTAGGGTAATGAACTAGATTCTATGTAAACATATATGAACAAATCGATATATTACGATAAAGTTCTGATTGTGATCAAGTTCTGAAGTTGATATAAAGCTAATATGAAAATTATTTATTCAATCCTCCAAAACGGTATCCTATTTGCAAAATGATTTGATAAAGTTGTCGTTACCTAATCCTGAATAAGGAAGACAGGAAATTATCAGAACAATATAACGATCACAAAATCCACTATGAAAAATTAATTACAATGAAATTTGTATGCAAAATATATTATAAGCGTAAAGGAATTTAAAAGGTTCATGTGGACAATTAAGGAAACTGAACTGAAAATGTTGTGCCAGCATTTGTCTGCATGTACTACAACTACGATCTACGTTATTCCATCGCTGCTGGCTATAACCTTAATTAAATTAGGATATACATTTTACACGTCAAATGTCCGTACTTAAAATCTGATCATTGAGATATTTGTTTTGTGTATTCAAATTTATCATATTAAAACTGTCTGAGAATAACCTTGATTTTTTAAGATTTAACACTTGACATTGAAAACATGGTTTCGTTTCATGATAATAATGTTAGCCTTATATGGATAATATTTCTTTGTTATATTATAAAAATCTGTCAGTCTGTATGAACCAATCAACCAGTTTTCAAACTAATATGCAACACTTTCGTTTCCCCATTATTGACAACATTATCTGTTTGCAGTGATGAATATGCAGAATACAATGCAGAAATACGTTTCATTATTTTGTATATACCTACAGCCCAAACAGATAACGAAAGTCCCCATATTTTCCTGGTGTATTGTACCTACAGACCAAACAGATAACAAAAGTCCCCATATGTTCCTTATTTACTGTATCTACAGACTAAACAGATAGGGTGCAATCAACAGTTTTTTTTTAGGACTTCATATTTTGAGGTACCATGCATAAGTGACCATAAGTGGTGGTATTGTTAATAAAGATACTTGTATAAAACTAGATATTACTGGAATCAGAATTTTCTCTAGTTTACAATGAAATAAAAATAAAGTGTTCTATATATTTTATTGTAAATGGATAAAAGACAACAACATTATGACTGTTGATTGGCTAATGTTCGAGGGAAGGAATCATGTCATTTATTACCCTGCGCATAACATCTGATTGCTCAATCATTTATTTTTTTTATAAAATAGGTTCAAGCGACCTGATTTTTCAATAATTATTCCAAATAATAAGAAATTTTAATAGAATACCATCAATTCTTTATGTATTATAAGATTTTCATTAATAGTCTGTATAAGATGATAAATTTAATGCTCCACCCATTCTTTTGCGAATAATGCCTTTTAAAATATTGATCTTAAATGTTCCAATTGACGCTATAATTTACCTTTTCGTCTTTGCAAACAAGAGAGACCATTAAAAAATTTATAATTTTTTTGTTTTATTCAAAAATGCATAGTTCTTTATTTCTTCCTTCGTATTATCTTCAGTCACCAGTCATCGATTATATACTTTCTTTTAAAATTCGAGACTTTCAGACATTTTAATTAAACGGAATACAGTTTTCGCCAGCACACACGATACCTCAATTTGTCATAAACTATTTCGACGGATATAAATAATGCAGCGAAGGTTGCAGTCATCAAAAAATAAGATAAAGAGACATTCAACTTAGAGAATTAAATTCTGATGTATGAGGTTAAATATCTGTATAATTATGTAATAAGGACTCTAAATCATTAAATTGACAAGGGTTGGATTTAACCAATATTAAACACCAACATTATTTTAACCTTACCTATTCACCTTCTCATCTCTCAATCATAGAAGGTTCAGAATGAAAACTTTTCGTAACTATCAGAGAAATACTTCATGGTAAATGTTCGAAAAAACAGAAACCACTCACAACTGAATCTATTTTAAAAGAGTAAAATCCATTTTATTCCTTTTTATAATCTTTTTCAATGTTTACCATAAATTGAATGCAGATTTCATAAAGAAACACACATATTTTACAATATTCCATGTTTTTATTCTTATAATTGATAAAATTTACAATTAATGTTCGGGAAATTTCCCAAAATATATGAAAGTTTTAAAATATTTGTGGTAAAGATGTATGTGACAACTTTTAATTCGGGAAATGTCCCAAAATCATTTTCAACATTATTATTTATAACATATATGTTGGCAAAGAATGTTGACAAACAGATCTGAAACACATTTCGGGAAAAATCCCGACAAAAATAAACTAAGTGGAAAATGTACAACACAAATGTCTTCGAATATTTTGGGATTTATCCCGAAAACAGAACGTATATGCTAGAACTCATGACTAATAATTTCTTTTTACATTTCGGGAAAAATCCTGAAAATATAAATCTATTATCAGGCACACACTTGTTACATAGATTTTTTTTACCCATTTCTGGAAAAATCCCGAAATAAAATCTGCAAGCAAATTTTTAAAATTATGCTACAGATTTCTTAAACATATTGGGAAAAATCCTGAAAAAACAAAATCTATAAGATATTACAACACAGAATTTTGATACATTTAGAAAGTTTTTATGTAAATTTGTTTCCAACATTTGTTAAAATTTTTATTCATAAAAAATATGTTTCTAACTGAAAAAAATATGTATTTTGTTTATAACCATACTTTTCATTACAGGTCAGAAAAAAGTATTTTCTAAGAAATATTAAGGTTGCTCTCTACTGCATCTCTTTTGTCATGCTTTAGTAATTCCCTAAATATAATATCAACCAAATTTGTCCCACAAAAAGGGGGGCCTAGGCCTCCTCTAAATCCTCCTCTTATAAGTGGTCGATTTTAAACTGGCCTAAGCATAAACTTTCCATATAAACTGCAAAAGATTCTAAGTTATAAAACCATGAATTAGGGTTCAGGATAAAAAAATCCCCAAGCCATATAAACTGCAAAAGATTCTAAGTTATAAAACCATGAATTAGGGTTCAGGATAAAAAAATCCCCAAGCACATGTATTGTCCAAAAGCTTATTCAACTGCATATAAAATATCCCTGACCTACTTTTAGTGGTTCTCCTTAAACTGAACTTATCACAAATCTTACAGAGTAAACTAAGGAAATTTTCAAAGTCAATATTCCATTACTGAGAGGCTGGTGAGGAGGGTGGTGCTCTATGGGATTGAGATGTGTGTCCATAACACATTATACCCTACTTCCACAATCAGATTTCCATATTCAGTAACTTATTTGTAATTACTTAAAAAATCAATGACTTCATAATGAACACTTAAAAGTACAAAGTTTCAAGTTTATTTGACCATAACATCATAGTAAACTATTGTACACAAAACATTAACCTACTGTACTATTTGTACATCTTGAAAACAAAATGATTGATAAAAACTAGTTTCAACTCATTACTTCAAATGCCAATGAAATTTTAAAATAGGAATAAAAAGAAAAAACTCAAACTCAAAAATATTCAATAATGTAGCCTCATTTCATTTTCCTAATTTGCACAATTTTGTTTTTGTCACAGAAAACATGGAAGAAACTTTATCTTTAATTATATTTTTCTAAATTTCTTTGTTCTCCACAACAAAATATCACAAGAGTGCACACGCTGAAATGTCTCGCCTTCTTTACTAATTATTGATGTTATGTTGATAGTCCTAAATATAAAGCTTTACTACCACTATCACATAAACTTAACATGATCCAAGAAAATGAGGTCAAGGTCATATAAACCAAACAAATAAGAAATACATGTACACCTTACAATCATTCAATACACTAAATATAATTGACCTATTGCTTATAGTTTCTAAGAAATAGACTTAACCAAGAAAACTAAACATTGACCAATGAACCATGAAAATGAGGTCAAGGTCAGATGAACCATGCCAGGCAGACATATACAGCTTACAATTCTTCCATACAACAAATATAGTTGACCTATTGCTTATAGTTTAAGAAAAACAGACCAAAACACAAAAACTTAACACTGAGCAATGGACTGTGAAAATGAGTTCAAGGTCAAATAAAACTTGCGAGACTGGCATGTACATAATAAAATATTTCCATACACCAAATATAGCTGTCCTTTATTGCATATAGTATTAGAAAAAAAGACCACAACTCAAAAGCTTAACTTTGACCCCTAAACCATGAAAATGAAGTCAAGGTCAGATGACACCTGCTAGCTAGACATGTACACCTTACAATCATTCCATACACCAAATATAGTAGACTTATTGCAAACAGAATAAGAAAAACAGACCAAAACACAAAAACTTAACTAACCACTGAACCATGAAAATGAGGTCAAGGCCAGATGACACCTGCCAGTTGGACATGTACACCTTACAGTTCTTCTGTACACCAAATATACAAGACCTAGATTGCTTATAGTATCTGTGATATGGACTTGACCACCAAACCTTAACCTTGTTCACTGATCCAAGAAATGAGGTCGAGGTCAAGTGAAAACTGTCTGACAGGCATGAGGACCTTGCAAGGTACGCACATACCAAATATAGTTAACCTATTACTCTTAATAAGAGAGAAATTAACATTACAAAAAATCTTAACTTTTTTTTCAAGTAGTCACTGAACCATGAAAATGAGGTCAAGGTCAATGGAAATGTGACACACGGAAACATCGTAACATGAGGCATCTATATACAAAGTATGAAGCATCCAGGTCTTCCACCTTCTAAAATATAAAGCTTTTAAGAAGTTAGCTAACGCCGCCACCGCCGCCGCCGGATCACTATCCCTATGTCGAGCTTTCTGCGACAAAAGTTGCAGGCTCGTTGAAAAAGAAAAATACTGTTCTAAAATAAAATACATGTTCTATATAATATTACAAATACATACAATAAAATATAACTACAAATCATAGTAACATGTGAATAAATCTTCATAACATGTGCAATGCTTGTTATATTCAGATGGAATTATTACATGTTAATGTAAATTGATCTGTTTCTTTATTGATGACTTTTTCTCTTCCTTTCACTCCTGCCTATAAATGAAAAGTAAAATAACATTAAGTAAAATATAACAAAAACGTGCTATTCTACATGCTAAATGTAAATATTAATGGTGAAATCAACAATTTTGATCATGTTGATAGGTTGAGACTATCACATTTGACATTTATAACAAAACTTCTTTTCCCCCTCTGACCATTTTGATTACCTTGTGTGACTTTTCACACAATCAATATGATCATAATGTACATAACCTTTCTGACATTTTATATCAATAAAGATAGTATAGCCAATAATAGTTTTCAAAATTATTTAGTGTAGAGTTGAGTTCTTTTCCCTTTCTCCAATTGAATGTTCCTGGCAACCTGCATTCTTTTATGTTACTTTTTTTCAATTAACAAATACTGATCAAGATTTAAAAGGGGAGCAATATTGAGTTTTCATGTGGCTTTCCAAAGTCAAGACCGTTCCTGTCACCTAAGGTTGTATCTTGAGGAGGCTTGAGGGTATAAAAATTCAGCAAAAATTTAAACTTTTTTTGTTTCATTACACATTTTTATTTCTTGCACTATTAGTTGTTACTTTATGATATGGTACAAAAATCAACCAAAAAAATCAATTCATTTTGGCCCCAGATGACTTTTGAATTGTTTATATCATTTAAAAAGCTCCAAATTATCTCCCTTTGATGAAAAAATGCCATTTTTTGCATTAAAATTGAATATCTTTTTTTACTCATCGGTGACCTATATTTTTATTATTTTTTTCAAATAAGCTGTACTCAAATAAGCTGTACTAAACTAAACTATTCTAAAATTTAAGCGATTTCTGTAATTTAGTTCTTTTTTTATTTCGACATTCCCTTTTTTTCTCCTATTAGTTCAACAGAAAAAAAGTAACTTAACAAAAATGCATGCTTCTGTCGAAGGCAGATTGTGAGTTCAAATGAACGGTGACCCTATACTTTTATTTTATTTTTCTATTAAGTATAGGAAAAAGTATAAACAAGAGTGCACACGCTGAAATGTCTCGCCTTCTTTACTAATAATTGATATTATGTTGATAGTCCTAAATATAAAGCTTTCTTACAACTGTCACATAAACTTACTATTAACCAAGAAAAATAAACATTGACCAATGAACCATGGAAATGAGGTCAAGGTCAGATGAACCATGCCAGGCAGGCATGTACAGCTAACAATTCTTCCATACAACAAATATAGTTGACCTATTGCTTATAGTTTAAGAAAAACAGACCAACACACAAAAACTTAACACTGAGCAATGAACTGTGAAAATGAGGTCAAGGTCAAATAAAAACTGCGCGACTGACATAAAGATCATAAAATATTTCCATATACCAAATATAGTTGACCTATTGCATATAGTATTAGTAAAAAAGACCAAAACTCAAAATCTTAACTTTGACCACTGAACCATGAAAATGAGGTCAAGGTCAAATGACACCTGCCAGCTAGACATGTACACCTTACAATCATTCCATACACCAAATATAGTTGACCTATTGCTTAAAGTGTAAGAAAAACAGACCAAAACACAAAAACGTAACATAAGCAATGAACCATGAAAATGAGGTCAAGGTCAAATAAAACCTGCCAGACTGACATGTTCATCATTAAATATTTCCATACACCAAATATAGTTGACCTATTGCTTAAAGTGTAAGAAAAACAGACCAAAACACAAAAACGTAACATAAGCAATGAACCATGAAAATGAGGTCAAGGTCAAATAAAACCTGTCAGACTGACATGTTCATCATTAAATATTTCCATACACCAAATATAGTTGACCTACAGCATACAGTATTAGGAAAACAGACCAAAACACAAAAACTTAACATTTAGCAATGAACCTTAAAAAATGAGGTCAAGGTCAAATAAAACATGCCAGACTGACATGTACATCGTAAAATATTTCCATACACCAAATATAGTTGACCTACTGCATACAGTATTAGAAAAACAAACCAAAACACAAAAACTTAACATTGAGCAATGAACCATGAAAATGAGGTCAAGGTCAAATAAAACTTGCCAGACTGACATGAACATCGTACAATATTTCCATACACCAAATACAGTTGACCAATTGCATACAGTATAAGAAAAACAGACCAAAACACAAAAACTAAACTATGACCACTGAACCATGAAAATGAGGTCAAGGTCAGATGACACCTGCCAGTTGGACATGTACCCCTTACTATCATTACATACACCAAATATAGTAGACCTATAGCTTATAGTATCTCAGATATGGACTTGACCACGATAACTTAACCTTGTTCACTGATCCATGAAATGAGGTCGAGGTCAAGTGAAAACTATCTGACGGGCATGAGAACCTTGCAAGGTACGCACATACCAAATATAGTTATCCTATTACTTATAATAAGAGAGAATTTAACATTCCAAAAAATCTGAACTTTTTTTTCAAGTAGTCGCTGAACCATGAAAATGAGGTCAAGGACATTGGACATGTAACTGACGGAAAGTGCGTAACATGAGGCATCTATATACAAAGTATGAAGCATCCAGGTCTTCCACCTTCTAAAATATAAAGCTTTTAAGAAGTTAGCTAACGCCGCCGCCGCCGCCGTAGGATCACTATCCCTATGTCGAGCTTTCTGCGACAAAAGTCGCAGGCTCGACAAAAATAGCGAAATCCTATATTTAAAAACAAATATTGAGATATACCCGCGAGCCCCCTTAAAGCTTTTGTTTCAGGGAATTTGGTGTTGACAGTAGATGTTTGTGTGTTTTTGGTTATTCAATTGACAATTGAGATGTTTATTAAATTCTACAATCACTTGTTGATCATTTCAAGACAGTTGACCTATAAAAATATGATGAAACCTTTTCAACTGATTTTTATAGTTTGTTCTTATGTTGTGCTGTAACACAACTGTCCCAGGTTAGGGGAGGGTTGAGCAACCAAAAACTTTTAACCTGCCACATTCTTTATGTGCCTGTCCCAAGTCAGGAGCCAGTATTTCCATGGAAGTTGTTGGTTTATGTATGTTATATATTTGATTTTCGCTACTTGTTTTGTTATAATAAATTATATAAATTAGGCCGCTAGTTTTCTCAAATGATTTTGTTCATATTTTTTCTGATCAGGGCCTTTTATAGCGGACTATACAGTATGAGTTTTTCTCATTGTAGAAGGCTGTACAGTTACCTATAACTGCTTATATCCACTTTATTCAAACTTTGGTGGATAGTTGTCTCATTGGCAATCATGCACCTTCTCCTTATTTTTATATAAATATAGGTCAAAACTGCATAGATCTATGCTGTTTAGTTATTTTTTGTTTTGTTGAGTTGCGTTTCATCTGTAATAAACAGGTAAAAATTCTTGAAACAATATGTTTTATCTATGTGAACATCATGGATTATTTATTCCTTTCAAAATTCTCTGAATAAATAAATGGGGAATGCGTCCATGGAACACAGATTATGCCCCCACTTGCATATAACATTTTAAAGGGTCATAAATCAAGAATGGTAAAAGTGACACACAGTACCCAAATGAGTACTTGATCTGAGTTTTGTGGTTATAAGCATTGTGTATAAGTTTCAGAACATTTGGTTAAGCAAACTTAAGTTTATAGTGAACTAAAATGAATAAACAGCTGCGCCATGAGCACATAATACCTCCGTCGCTTTTTTAAAGAATAAGGTCTTCAACACAGCGAGAAAATCACGCACTATAAGTGTTTCTCGTTTCTCTTTTTTTTTAATATAGATTAGACCGTTGGTTTTCCCGTTTGACAGCTGGTTTCACACTAGTCATTTTTGGGGTCCTTAAATTAATAATAGCTTACTGTTCGGTGTGATCCAAGGCTCTGTGTTAAAGACCGTACTTTGACCTATAATGGTTTTTCTTTTACAAATTGTGACTTGGATGGAGAGTTGTCTCATTGGGACTCATACCACATCTTCTTATATCTATGTACAAACATACAAGGATAAAACTTAATGCCCTCCTCCGCTACGACGGGGCATAACAAAATGCATATACATATAAAGCAGCAGGACTCTTATTAAGACTGAATATGACAGTACCTTATTCTTTATTCTTTCATCTTATCTCCTGCATGATTGCTGACATGAATTTTGGTTCTTTATTTCTTTTATGTCCAGGCAATTTTGGTATGAAAGCATCATATTTCAAGCTAAGTGTACCCATGATTTGTCCTGGGTGTATTTTGATAAAAATGATAAATGTTGACTGCATCTTTTGGTGTCTCTCTTGTAAAACAATAATGCAAAGTCTATGTGTTTTGTTTAAAATTACAAATCATAGGAATTAGCCAGTAACATATATTGTATTATAATGTCACTTCTGAAACAATCCTGACTGGTAACTGTACAGTTTCAGCATCCTTTCCTTTGTTCTTAATTTTTCTGATATTTAGCTGAAAGCAGGATCAATATCTTCATGTGTGTGGCAAACAAGTACTAACGACCAGAGAACCTGAAAAAAAAATTCCCTGTTGAGTTCTCGACTAGTATCATTTATTTATCCATTGAAGAGATAGAGCTTTGTTAGAATTTTGAAAGGTGGAAGCAGTATAATTACTTTAATACACTAAAATATGTAATAAATAAAACAAGAATGTGTCCATGGGACACGGATGTCCCTGCTTGTAAATATATCTCTAATTTATCCTTTTTTCTATTAATAAAGTAACATAATATGAGAATGATGAAAGTGACTTGATCAGTGTTTGGTGTTAATAAGCATTGGAACAAGGAATTATTTGAATCTGGAATAATTTGAATTCTGGAAAATTGAAACGAAATTTATGATGAAAACTAACCCAACTAAATAGGGTTAGCCATGCGCGCATGGCTTAGGGGGGTTAGTTAGTTCATACTGAAAGAACAGTGAAAGTAAAATTACCCTTAGCCATGCACGCATGGCTAACCCTATTTAGTTGGGTATGTTTTCATCATACATTTCTTATCAATTTTCCAGAATTCAATATTATTCCAGATTCAGATAATTCCTTGTTTTGTGTATAAGTTTCATAACACTTGGTTGAGGCAAAGAATAGCTAAAGTGCAATTAGGGTTTTGAACTAGTTTTTAATTACTTCAAGTTCCCTGATATTGATTCATGTTTTTTTTTATTGCAGTACGTACAGTAATAATCTGATGGTTTAATAGAGCACAATACCACGACAACAACATGTTTATCAAAATATCATTTTCATTTTGTTCTTTCATAATATTCCAAAATCACAGAACAGAAAAATAAATTTCCATATCTTGCCCTGTTAATGAGTCGTAATGAAAATTATTCATCAAATACATATTTTGGTTATGTTGACTTATTTGTAGATCTTACTTTGCTGAACATTATTGCTGTTTATTATATGTAACAGTTTATCTCTATCTATAATAATAATCAAGATAGTAACCAAAAACTGCAAAATTTCCTTAAAATTAACAAATCGGGGACAGCAACCCAACAACGGGCTGTCTGATTTGTCTGAAAATTTCAGGGCAGATAGATCTTGACCTGATAAACAATTTTACCCCCATGTCAGATTTGCTCTAAATGCTTTGGTATTAAATACATGTATCAGCCAAAATCTACATTTTACCCCTAGATTCTATTTTTAGCCATGGCGGCCATCTTGGTTGGTTTGCAGGGTCATCAGACACATTTTCTTAACTAGATACCCCAATGATGATTGTGGCCAAGTTTAGTTAAATTTGGCCCAGTAGTTTCAGAGGAGAAGATTTTTGTAAAGGTTAATGGTCAACGACGGCCCTTTGGGCCAGGTGAGCTAAAAAAAGATGTACAACAGGTGTTTAGAAATAAAGAAGATAATGCACTCCAAAGAAAATTTTTTATTCATATTAGAGCTGCCATGAGAAAAAACATATGATAGATTTTATAGCAATATGGGAACTAAAATATTAATGTACAATGTAATGTAGGTGCCTGTTCCAAGTCAGGAGCCTGTAATTCAGTGGTTGTCGTTTGTTGATGTGTTACATATTTGTTTTTCGTTCATTTTTTGTACATGTACATAAATTAGGCCGTTATTTTTCTTGTTTCATTTGCATTTGTCATTTCGGGGCTTTTTATAGCTGTGTGGTATGGGCTTTGCTCATTGTTGAAGGCCATACGGCGACTATAGTTGTTAATTTCTGTGTCATTTGGTCTCTTGTGGAGAGTTGTCTCATTGGTAATCATACCACATCATTTATAAGCATAAATCAAATAAAGTTAAGTACAACATTTAAAAGTGTTGATGTTAATAACATTTCTGATATATCCAATTTTCTTGAGGAGAATTTCTAAAAATATATGAATTTATGAGGGCTTGGAATCCCGCTAACATGTTTAACCTGCCACATTCTGTGCCTGTCCCAAGTTAGGAACCTGGACAATCAGTGGTTGCCGTTTGTTGCTGTGTTACACATTTGTTTTTCGTTAATTTTTTTGTATTTTTATAAGGCCTTTAGTATTGAATTGTTTTACATTTGTAATTTCGGGCCTTTTATATATGACTATGCAGTATGAGCTTTGCTCATTGTTGAAGGTTGTACTGTGACCTATAGCTGACTGACAGACGGAGGGACAGGGGTAAAACAATATGCCCGCCAACTTTTAGTTGCGGGGACATACAGAGTTATACACTTTGTTTAAAATACTATTGAAAGATCATAATTTAAATTATTCATGTTTACAGAAGTCTTTTGTTAATGTTTATATTTGTATTGTGTTGTGTTGTTTTGTTTCTGTATCACATATAACATGTATAAGTCTAAAAGTTTTTGAACACCAAAATTTTCAAAGAACAATTTCAGTATTTCCCTCAAGGACCACCAGGAGAAAAAAAGATTTCAAGAACTCTGTAATGGAGAGAAAGAATGGATAGGGTTTAAAGAATAGAGAATATTGGACAAACATGTGCAGAATAAAGGGGCAAACAAATAAAGAATAGAAAAACAATTGCAACAAGAAATGATTATAACAGGATGCTGTTACGAAGTCTCCCAAACGAAGCTCCCATAATTCGTAATTCCCAGGGTCGCCTGACATTGGGAAAAGTCCAGTGAAAATTGGTTTGGTCAAGTTATATGCATTAGTGATGCCTGGGGACTAACCCTGTATATCATTCCAATCATCTTGTCATGACAAACCAGAATATATATGGTTTAGGGGTGGGGATCTCAACCATTTACAAGATATTATAACTTTCTCAAATGGCAGGGGGCGGGATGACCCCTGGGGACTAACCCTGTATATCATTCAAACCATCTTAGCATGACAAACCAGAATATATATGGTTTAGGGGTGGTGATCTTGACCACTTACAAGATATTAGGACTTTCTTAAATGGCAGGGGGTGGGGGTGACCCCTGGGGACTAACCCTGTATTTCATTTGATGTGCTTTATCATGAAAAACCAAAATATATATGGTTTAGGGGTGGGGATCTCGACCATTTACAAGATATTAGAACTTTCTCAAATGGCAGGGGGTCGGGATGACCCCTGGGGACTAACCCTGTATATCATTCAAACCATCTTAGCATGACAAACCAGAATATATATGGTTTAAGGGTGGGGATCTCGACCATTTACAAGATATTAACACTTTCTTAAATGGCATGGGGTGGGGGTGTCCCCTGGGGACTAACCCTGTAATACATTTGATGTGCTTTATCATGAAAAACCAGAATATATATGGTTTAGGGGTGGGGATCTCGACCATTTACAAGATATTAGAACTTTCTAAAATGGCAGGGAGTTGGGAAGACCCCTGGGGACTAACCCTGTGTATCATTCAAACCATCTTAGCATGACAAACCAAAATATATATGGTTTAGGGGTGGGGATCTTGACCACTTACAAGATATTAAAACTTTCTTAAATGGCGTGGGGTGGGGGTGACCCCTGAGGACTAAACCTGTATTACATTTGATGTGCTTTATCATGACAAACCAGAATAAATATGGTTTAGGGGTGGGGATCTCGACCATTTACAAGATATTAGAACTTTCTCAAATGGCAGGGAGTTGGGATTACCCCTGGGAACTAACCCTGTATATCATTCAAACCATTTTAGCATGACAAACCAGAATTTATATGGTTTAGGGGTGGGGATCTTGACCACTTACAAGATATTAGAACTTTCTTAAATGGCAGGGGGTGATGGTGACCCCTGGGGGCTAACCCTGTATTACATTTGATGTGCTTTATCATGACAAACCAGAATATATATGGTTTAGGGGTGGGGATCTCTACCGTTTACAAGATATTAGAACTTTTTCAAATGGCAGGGGGTTGGGATGACCCCTGGGGACTAACCCTGTATATCATTCAAACCATCTTAGCATGACAAACCAAAATATATATGGTTTAGGGGTGGGGATCTTGACCACTTGCAAGGTATTAGAACTTGTTTAAATTGCAGAGGGTGGGGGTGACCCCTGGGGACTAACCCTGTATTTCATTAAATGGGCTTTATCATTTAGAACATTTTCAATTAAAAAGATTGTGTCTATCACAAACGGTTTTCAATTTATACTCATTTGAAAATTTTTAAAAATAAAATCCCATAGGGTTCTATAGTAAAACCCTCTTTTCTTTTTGCCCCTCAAAGTACCCCTTTATAAACCCCATTGCACAAACAAAACCCTGATTGCACCACTATACATGTTAGTCTAACATATTTTGAAACCCTAAGTTAATCTGACAAGCGGTTTTGGAGAACGGGTGCGGACAAGTTCAAATTTAAAAGCGGCAGAAGAGGAAGAAGAAGAAGAAGAAGAAGAAGAAGAAGAAGAAGAAGAAGAAGAAGAAGAAGAAGAAGAAGAAGAAGAAGAAGAAGAATAATAACTGAGCAAAAACAATAAGTCTTCCCAAACTTCGTTTGGGAGACTTAAAAATAATACAGAATATTGAATAATAGGGCACAAAAATACAGCAAATAGACATGATCGAGATAATATAAATGGGCAAAATAAATAACGAATAGAGAGAACAATGGTCTAATATTTAAAGAATAAAGACAATAAGGACCCCCTCATCCAAACCCTCATTTAGCAGAACAGTAAAAATGATAATTATCTACTTTCAAGGAGTGTTTAATATGTGGACATTTTCAAACAATTTCATACATTCCCATATCTTTAACTATTTGATCATTACTTACATCTGTCCATCATTATGCTGTCTTTTAGATCACATTGCATTTGAAGCTGATATTCAATACTTGCACAGTTGTACACCTAGAAAACAAATCTGCAAAAATAAGATAAAACAGTCTTGTGTAACTGTCATACTAGTTAAGATACAGAATCGTGTGACTTTCTAACAGAAAATTTACATCACATCAATGAGAAATTGCAAAAAGTAAATAAAATTATTCATTTGTCGCTTTCGTTGTTGAGGTTACATGAGTGCATTGGCTGCCTTATTTTTACATGTTCACAAATCAGTATCCGGGAGAGCAGTAAATATATAGAGGCTCTGCACCCTCCCCCTGGAAGTTTGTGCTCTGAAGGGAACCAGGTGCTTTTTCTAAGTAAGGAAAGAGTTTAAAAATTATCCATCATGTCCTCACATCTAATTATTAAAAATGTGTATCAGAGTCAGAACTTCTCAATGTTCATTTTTTGGGGGAATATTTATTACCCTAATTTAATGTTTTTATTGTCTTTAATTAAGTGACTGACACAGTACTGAGGATAACATTTTCATATCTCTTCATTTATATCTACAAATTCTAATGATGTTTCACATCCTGGGGGATTAAAACCCATGAAATTGAAATTTATCACACATAATTGACTAATAGTAGTAATTGGGAATGTAAACATGTAATATTTTTTTTTCCAGTAGGCAGTTTAACCAAACTTAAGATACAGACAAGACATAATAAATTAGTATACTATATACACAGCATGCACAGGACATGTGCTCTTATCATAATGATGAACTGAGTCTATACTGTCCCTTTAACAAATAATGCAAAGTTAAAAATTTTTGTTATTTAGATTCTGTGAATTTTTTAAATTTTAAACATTCTTAGTTTGTTTGAAATATATATAAGATGTATACTTAATCATCTGTAGAATTTTTTTATTAATGAAAAAAAAAAGAATTAGCTGATTAATCTATAAAGATTATAGTCGATCCAGGTAATTTCGTACAGGCAGTTGGTCCGAGAACACAGTTATTTTGTAGTGCATTTCTTTTAGACAATAAGTGGAAATAAAAAAAATCCAACCTGAGCTTTCTCAATAATATTTTTACAGTGTGTTGTACTACTTAACTTTTGGGACAACTTATATAAAAATTATAGAAAACTTCATCGGCTCTAACTCAAAATATGGACAATTTTATGTTAAGGGGGTCTTGAAATCTTGACAGTTTCCAAAATTAATGCTAATTTTTAACCTTTTTCAGCTGGAACAAATCACTATTTTACTTTAAAATTCATAATTCAAATTTTTTAACAGTGTAATTTTATCCCCCTACTTGCTATTTGAGACAAAAAACATGAAGAAATAAATTTGGAAGGGGGATAAAAACTAGAGGCTCTCAAGAGCCTGTGTCGCTCACCTGATTCTACTTTGGTTTTGGAAATCATGTAAAAATAGATTAAAATCATAACAGATACCCTAATAATGAGTGAGGCCAAATTTGGTTTAATATTGGTCCTGTAATTTAATAAAAAATCCTGGTGGCCATCTTGAACAGTAAATCGGCAACAAAGTAGCAACACTTAATCAGCACCTCATAAGAAACATTTATGGCATGTTTTGGTTTCATTCCATTCAGTGCACCTCTAGAAGAAGCATTTGTATGTATTTCCCATAGGTTCTTATGTTAAAGGAAGTCCCCCCCTCCCATTGGCGGCCATCATGGATGAAGGATCAGCTTCAAAGTAACAAAACTTAATCAGCACCTCATAAGGAACATTCATGCCATGTTTGGTTTCAATCCATTCAGTATGTGGTTCTCTAAAAGAAGACATTTGTATGTATTGTCCATAGGATCCTTTGTTAAACATTGTCCCCATCTGGCAGCCATCATGGATGAAGGATCAGCTTCAAAGTAACAACACTTGGTCAGCACCTCAAAAGGAACATGCATGCCATGTTTGGTTTCATTCCATTCAATGGTTTTCTAAAAGAAAACATTTGTATGTATTTCTCATAGGGTCCTATGTTAAACTAAGTCCTCCGCTGGCGGCCATCTTAGATTATGGATCAGCTTCATAGTAACAACACTTGGTCAGCACCTCATAAGGAACATTCTTGCCATGTTTGGTTTCATTCCATTCAGTGGTTCTCTAAAAGAAGATATTTGTATGTATTTCCCATAGGGTCCTATGTTAAACTAAGTCCCCTGCTGGCGGCCATCTTAGATTATGGATCAGCTTCATAGTAACAACACTTGGTCAGCACCTCATAAGGAACATTCATGCCATGTTTGCTTTTATTCCATTCAGTGGTTCTCTAAAAGAAGACATTTGTATGTATTTCCCATAGGGTCCCATGTTAAACTAAGTCCCCCGCTGGCGGCAATCTTGGATTACGGATCGGCTTCAAAGTAACAACACTCGGCCGGCACCTCATAAGGAACATTCATACCATGTTTGGTTTCATTCCATTCAGTGGTTCTCTAAAAGAAGATATTTGTATGTATTTCCCATAGGGTCCTATGTTAAACTAAGTCCCCCGCTGGCAGCCATCTTGGATTATGGATCAGCTTCAAAGTAACAACACTCGGTCAGCACCTCATAAGAAACATTCATGCCATGTTTGGTTTCATTCCTTTCAGTGGTTCTCTAAAAGAAGACATTTGTATGTATTTCCCGTAGGGTCCCATGTTAAACTAAGTCCCCCGCTGGCGGCCATCTTGGATGATGGATCCGCTTCAAAGTAACAACACTCGGTCAGCACCTCATAAGAAACATTCATGCCATGTTTGGTTTCATTCCATTCAGTGGTTCTCTAAAAGAAGACGTTTGTATGTATTTCCCATAGGGTCCCATGTTAAACTAAGTCCCCCGCTGGCAGCCATCTTGGATTATGGATTGGCTTCAAAGTAACAACACTCGGTCAGCACCTCATAAGGAACATTCATGCCATGTTTAGTTTCATTCCATTCAGTGGTTCTCTAAAAGAAGACATTTGTATGTATTTCTCATAGGGTCCCATGTTAAACTAAGTCCCCCGCTAGCGGCCATCTTGGATGATGGATCCGCTACAAAGTAACAACACTTGGTCAGCACCTCATAAGAAACATTCATGCCATGTTTGGTTTCATTCCATTCAGTGGTTCTCTAAAAGAAGACGTTTGTATGTATTTCCCATAGGGTCCGGTGTTAAACTAAGTCCCCCGCTGGCAGCCATCTTGGATTATGGATCAGCTTCAAAGTAACAAAACTCGGTCAGCACCTCATAAGAAACATGCATGCCATGTTTGGTTTCGTTCCTTTCAGTGGTTCTCTAAAAGAAGACATTTGTATGCATTTCCCATAGGGTCCTATGTTAAACTAAGTCCCCCGCTGGCGGCCATCTTGGACGATGGATCCGCTACAAAGTAACAACACTCGGTCAGCACCTCATAAGAAACATTCATTCCATGTTTGGTTTCATTCCATTCAGTGGTTCTCTAAAAGAAGACGTTTGTATGTATTTCCCATAGGGTCCCATGTAAAACTAAGTCCCCCGCTGGCAGCCATCTTGGATTATGGATCGGCTTCAAAGTAACAACACTCGGTCAGCACCTCATAAGAAACTTTCATGCCATGTTTGGTTTCATTCCATTCAGTGGTTCTCTAAAAGAAGACATTTGTATGTATTTCCCATAGGGTCCAATGTTAAACTAAGTCCCCTGCTGGCGGCCATCTTGGATTATGGATCAGCTTCATAGTAACAACACTTGGTCAGCACCTCATAAGGAACATTCATGCTATGTTTGCTTTTATTCCATTCAGTGGTTCTCTAAAAGAAGACATTTGTATGTATTTCCCATAGGGTCCCATGTTAAACTAAGTCCCCCGCTGGCGGCAATCTTGGATTATGGATCGGCTTCAAAGTAACAACACTCGGTCAGCACCTCATAAGGAACATTCATACCATGTTTGGTTTCATTCCATTCAGTGGTTCTCTAAAAGAAGACATTTGTATGCATTTCCCATAGGGTCCTATGTTAAACTAAGTCCCCCGCTGGTGGCCATCTTGGATGATGGATCCGCTACAAAGTAACAACACTTGGTCAGCACCTCATAAGGAACATTCATGCCATGTTTGGTTTCATTCCATTCAGTGGTTCTCTAGAAGAAGTTCAAAATGTAAAAAGTTAACGCCGACGACGGACGACGACGGACGACGCCGGACGACGGACGCCAAGTGATGAGAAGAGCTCACTTGGCCCTTCGGGCCAGGTGAGCTAAAAAATTGGCAAGTAACACCCTGTCAACACTAGTTAGGGACTATATTAGTGGACAATGAAAATCAAAGGATGATAACTGTGTTCTCAGACCAGGTAATTACTGTACATTTTGCTTGTTTATTAAACAGGGAACCAAATGACTTTCATTTAGGACCAAAAGTGTACGGAATTACCCTGACGGACTCTAATGTAAGATCAACCTCCTCGCCAAGATAAGATATGTACATGCATTCATAAACTGGGGCTCCAGTAGGAGATACACCCTTATGTCACAAGGCTTTTACCCTAAAGATCGAAGCGTGTCTAGAAATTGCTTCAGATTACTTTTAAGCAAATAGAACAGTTTTGACCATTTAAACGATCCCAAGTACATGTAAATATTAATGACTCACATTTTAGATGACCAACAATGTATTAAGAAATTTTCAAAGAACATATATATATATATATATAGGATTTAATATTGTCTGCCATGAAATTATGTCCACCAGACACTATTTCACAGTAAATTGTGTCCACTGACTTAATGTCATTATGAAATATTGTCCAAACAATGTTTGCCTATAGTATACAATTGTGTCCAGATGTGAAAAGTTGTCCTTCAATGAAGGGACAATATTTCATATGAAAAAAGTGTCCTTCATAGAAAGGACAGTATGTCAAGAGAAAAAGTGTCGACTATCAATACCTACATAGCTTCAATTTAAATCTAAATTAAAGTTTGATAAAATGCTCCGCTGGGGCGCAGCTAGATACGACCGCAGAGGTCGAACCCTGAACAGTTGGGGCAAGTATGGACACAACATTCAAGCTTGATACAGCACTGAATTTGGATTGTAATTAAATATTTGACACAGCATAGGTTTCTGACACAGAAAAACTTAAAAAAATTTAATTTACCTATTCAAACCATATCATTATTATTTGCTTTTATATATAAATCAGAAATAACCAATTTAAAATGGAAAATTTTAAAGAAAAAAAAGGAAAAAAAAATCCCCCCCCCCAAATTTTTTGAACCCCTTTATGATTCATCAAACCCAAACTCAATCCCAGCCTTCCCTTTGTGGTATGGTACCTTGCAGTACAATTTCAGAGAGATCCATACACTGGAACACAAGTTATTGTCTGGAAACTAGAAAAAATGCTTGTTTTTTGGCCCCTTTTTTGCCCCAAATTCCTATACGTTTAGGGCAATAACCCCAAAACTCAAACCCAGCTTTCCCTTTGCGATATGGAACCTTGTAGTTCAATTTCATAAAGATCCATACACTTACACACAAGTTATTGTCCTGAAACTAGAAAAATGCTTGGTTTTTTGCCCCTTTATGGCCCCCAATTCCTAAAATTTGGAAGCAATTACCCCCAAAATCAATCCCAGCCTTCCCTTTGTAGTATGGTACCTTGCAGTACAATTTCAGAGAGATCCATACACTTGAACACAAGTTATTGTCTGGAAACTAGAAAAATGCTTATTTTTGGCCCCTTTTTGGCCCCTTATTCCTAAACGTTTTGGGCAATTACCACCAAACTGAATTCCAGCTTTCCCCTTTGTGATATGGAACCTTGTAGTACAATTTCATAAAGATCCATACACTTACACACAAGTTATTGTCTGGAAACTAGAAAAATGCTTGTTTTTTGCCCCTTTTTGGCCCCTAATTCCTAGAATTTGGAGGCAATTACCCCCAAAATCAATCCCAGCATTCCCTTTGTGATATGGAACCTTGTGGTACAATGTCAGAGAGATCCATACACTAACACACAAGTTATGTCTGGAAGTTACAAAAATGCTTATTTTTGGCCCCTGTTGACCCCTAATTCCTTAACTGTTGGTACCATAACCCCCAAAATCAATCCCCACCTTCCTTTTGTGGTATTGAACCTTATGGTAAAATTTCATAGAGATCCATTCACTTAAACTAAAGTTAGAGTGCGAAAACCAATGTGTCTTCGGACGACGACAACGACGACGACGACGACGCAAACGTCATACCAATATACGACCGCAAAATTTTTTTGCGGTCGTATAAAAATTAGAATTTGGGTTTTGTCTCTATTAAAACATGGCATGTAAACTAGAGTAGTGAATTCATACTAAATGTGACCATCACCATGTGTAGTTAAACATGAATTATACAATAAAACATGTACTTATACACACAAAAACAGAAATATATTAAATAGTACTTAAAAATATGAACAATGTTGATAAACATACATGTATTTTATTTCAATTTACATAAACTGTTATCACAGAGATATGTCTTGCCTTTTTGTAATTTTTATAAAGCAATATTGTTGAAATTAAAATAGCAATACTTTAACATGTAAGTTATGTAAAATATTCAAAGTCAATGAACCATGACTAAAGGTACATGGCTGAACAATCTCCATGGAAATAAGATGTGCTAATGATAAATTATACAAAAGCTTCTTTTTATGTATACCAAATATAATTGACTTATCTAAGTCATTCCCTTAAAAAAAACCTAAACACAAACATTAACTTGGTAAACTATGTAAAAGTTTCAAAGTCAATGAACCATGATGAGGGGGTGGGGCTTTATAATATACAAATATACCACTAGTGGTTCCCCATAAACTGACTCAGACCTAATCACAAACTAATACATGTATAAAACTAAGCAAAATTTTCAAGGTCAATAGACCATGACTCAGGGGGCAGGGCCAAATAATCTCTATGGAAATGAGATATGCCAATGCTTATACAACTGCATACCAAATATCATTGACCTACCACTTGTGTTTCACCATAAACTAGACCTAATCTCAAACTAATACATTGTTGACGCCGCTGCCGCCGTCGGCAAACCTATAATGTCTCGCTTTTTTACTCTGTCAAGGCGAGCTAAAAATCATGTAATTTTCAAGAATTTTCTCAAAAATACTGTTCTTTCTTCATTTGGCATTTCTTGTACTTTATATAGTGGTTGTGACAGTTGATGCTGGTGGATACTTTTTGTTGACATCTTTATAGCTAAGATAATTGAATATGCTTTGGAATTTAACACCTTCCATTTGGTGTTTTTATCAAATTATAACAGGTTCTTGATTGGTTTGTTTTAGTAATAGAACATTTAATATAGCCAATACGTGAGTGACTTTTTTATTATCTCCCTTTAAAGGACACCTTTTACTGTGAAAAGGTCCTCTTATTGAAAATCAACCTTGCAGGACAGAATTTAATAGTACTTTATCATGAAATAATGAATTGAAGGACACTTTTTCACAGCATCGGACAAATTTAAATATTTACATTTTCTGTGAAAAAGTGTCAAGGTGGTTGATAGTAAAAAAGGGTATTGTTACTTAAATGACTAGTAATGGATTGTTGAGACTTGTTATATGTCAATACATTTTAGAAAATTGTAATTATGGAGAATAAAAAAGACTTTTTTACAGTGGGCCCCAAATCCCCAAATACCTGTGTCAGATGTAAGTGAATAGAAAATAGGGATTGTATGCAAGTAAAGCCTAGATTTTTGTAAAAAAAAAAAACAAAAACAAAGACTTTTATCTGTTATAGTTTGATCTATTACAGATTTTCATTGTAAAATTTAACTCACTTACAAGTATTATGTCCATGCCAGCATTCATTGTTTACAAAGAGTTCTACACAACCTTAAATCAAATACAATCCAAAGTCAAGCACACCCAAAGCCAAAGCCAAAGGTGTACTTGAATAGGTCTATATTTGGTAGTCTTGATTTAATGAATAACTTTATTTCTGAATTTTAAATTGGTTTTATTAAACTTTGTAAGAGAAATTATTGCTCTATCTAATAAGCATTGACCAGTTGACATTATTGTGGCCAAGCAGATACCAAAAAATATTCGGAATCCAGATTTTCCCCATACTTGTCAGGTAACCAGAGGATTTCCAAACCGAAGTGGTTCGTCTGAAAAAGGTGGAATTTTAATACAGAATAGGTGACGGGTAACAGTTCTGTGGATGGAACAAACATCCTCACCTTCAAACTGGTAAAGTTCAACTTCTACAAGAGTCCTGAGTTGCAGTGCGATAGAAGAACGTCTGTTATCCAAATACAATCAGGGAACCAGTTCATGTAAGACAAACTTGTTGTGACCTTGAACTTGAAGATGCAGAGATGCTGAATGAAAACTTGTCATCAGTACGACAGTAGCCTGTTGTTGAAATGATTTCAATTTATATATATGTAAACATTTAGTTAAAACAAGTGTGAGAGCAATTTACGTTTAAAGAGGGACTGGATTTTTTGTTTTGTTTCTTTGTTTCCTTTTTTTCTTTTGGGGGGGGGGGGGTTGAAAGGTATAGATAACTACGGGACCTACCATTTGGTTTTTATGGGGGGCTAGGATGAAAAATGTTGTCCTTCATTCTATTAGTTGTTATGTATTTTTCACTCTATTCGGTCCTGCCTTTTTTTTTGAAATTGAGAATGGAAATGGAAAATGTGTCAAAAAGACAGCAACCCTACCAAAGAGCAGAAACCAGCAGAAGGCAACCAATGGGTCTTCAACATAGCGAGAAAATCCCGCACCAGGAGGCTTGCTTCAGCTAGCCCCAAAATAATATAATGTACTAGTTCATTAGTTTATCTAGTCCAAATAATTATGACGTCTTGGAAGGCTATTTTAAATTTTTGTTTTGACGCCTTCCTGCGTCGATGTAAGGCGTCAACGAAAAAAATATAATAGCCTTTCAAGATGTCATAATTATTTGGACTATAGTTTATCCTGACTTTTTTTTACATACATGTAAATAGTCATCCTGCCTTTTTTTCGGCAAAGTGTCTCATCCCACCTTTTGATTACTCAAAACTCCTGTCCTGTTTTTTTTTCGAATTTCATCCTGATTTTTTTATATTATAGTCTAGTTGCATAATCAATAATGTTTATTGTTTGAACAGAGTATGTTAAAGTTTATTGAAAAATTCGCCTACTATTTCGTAAAATGTATTTGCTGCAAACAAATATAAATTATTTTTTATTTGCATAGTAGAATACTGGAATACATTGTACTTACATGACTTATCTTTAGTTATTGATATTTGTTAACAATTTTATTAATTCTAATCAGTCAATTTGATAACAATATGAATTTATATCTTTTTCAAGTTTTAAAATTGGTACATCATTTTTTGTTACTCATTCCAAGCTGACTATATAGCTAGTTTATCAACAAAAAAAATGTTGTTTTTATTATAAATCCATTACAACAATCAGTGAGAATTATCATTTTTAACAATTAATGCTCTAAAACAAATTTTAAGCCAACAACTTTTAAATATTTCCATGTGTTTTCATAAATTTCCAGAATTTATACCATATGAATAAGTTTATTAAAGTTTAATACCCATTAAACAATATGTTTTAATAAAAGTACTAGGGAGAACGGACCTAGGGCGAACAGACTCTGTGGGTTAATGAACTCTGGGTTAACAGACCTAGGGAAAACATGTAATCAGGGCAGAGGGATTTTGTTAATACGATTAAATATTCTTACATGTACAGGCTATACATCAAAAGAATATAATGTAATAAAACCTCAATCTTTATCCAAATCTTGTATATTATATGTTCCAGACCATATGAGTATTTGGACCGTACACATATACTTGTGCAGTCGGACCATGTGTGTACGGTCAGACCATATGAGTATACTCATACAGTCTAGGACTAAATGGCCCCTATATGTATTTGTACCATAGGGGTTAATTTTAGACAAACATTTATCAAAATTTTTATTGAATATATACATACAAATGATTATAATTACAATAAGATGAATAAAGTGAAATATATCATCATATCATCAACCCTAATAATCTGGAAACAACTGGTATTATTAGAGTAACAAAGCTACCTTATTCATTCTTTGCACTAGTTTTCGACGCGTTTTTATTATATTTTCTCATTGTTTTTTCAAGGGATTTTTTTTATAGTTTTTGTCCAGTATCTGTGACGTTTTTTTTGGTAGAAAAGTTCCTAAATATTCTAAAATATTTTCTTCCAACATTATGTTTATTCCAATAACTTCAATTTCAGTGAGCATAATTAAATCTCATGTATTAACTGACATGCTAAATATACAGGAGCTTAACAGAATAAAGCTGTGATTTATAATGATACTGTTCCACAACATTTTAGAGTCAGAGAAATTTAATGCTTGATTGGGAGCAATTATTTGTGGTCACTTAAACTTATTGGTTTTAATTGATTGACCATCTGTGCAGCTGGTAAGAACATAATCAGCTGATTTACTAAAATAAAATGAGTAAGTGCCTTAGATTCCTCTTTTTCTTTTATTCTTTAGATTTCTTTATCAATAATTTACTATGGTCAAAAAGTTAAATCTACTATTTTCTGCCTTTGTTATTTATGTGGTCAAACAATCAACTTGCTTAGTCCATTGTACTCTTTAATTTATTTAAAATTGATATCCCTCAATCCATAGGACATACAAAAAATGTAACATTAAGACATCTACCATGTCTACTGGGAATTGAAAGTAATAGAGAAACTATTTTGATAATATGGCATAATACTAAGATCATATATATTATTATCAGAATTCATACATGTATTTCTATACACCCTCTTCAGAAAATGAAATTTTATCTAATGGTTCTATTAAATTCTAGTAGGTTAATTGGGTACAAGATATCTTTAGAGATTTACAATGTAGCACAGTATAGTGGCTCAAGGGTACACTGAGTGGAGGAAAAACTTTTGAAATACTTAACTAGCAAACAAAACAAGTCTATAGTCTTTACAATGCTTTATACATGTAGTCAACAGTTTATACAAAATCAGCATCCTCTTTCATTTTCATTTTTTATTTTCAACATTTTAAATATGTTTTTGTTAATGCCTAAAAGTGCTGAAATAAAAAAAGTTTAAAAGGCCAATGCCAATTATTAGTATGAAGTAGAAACCTTTATGATATATATGTAAGTATTTATATTATTCAGATGTAAGTGGCAATAAGTGAAATTAGGCATTAAGCTTAAATCTTTGTCAATAAGGTAATGCCCAGGTAGACTAAGTCTATCATCTAGAAATGATGTTAACAGTCATTATAAAAAATGTATTCTTAAATCCTGAAAAATATGTCCAGGCTTTAAATGCAAGTAAATAAAAAGGCATTTATTCAAAGTTAAAATACATTTAGTACATAATAACATAACAAGAACTGCTGGACTTTAAAATGTAAACTAACTGAAATGATGCCACTATTCTAGCCAAGTTAGTCTAACCTTGGATATAATCAAAGCTGTATATTCACCATCCTTGTCACTTTGTAGTTTAGGGATGCATACCAAAAGTTGTGTAAAAATCAATTAAATCGAAAGTCACAATTGAAGCACATTTTGACGTGAGAACTCTAATGTTACAAACTTTTGTTAGTTTTTTTATTAGCTCACCTGGACCAAAGGGCCAACTGAGCTTTTCATGTCACTTGAGGTCTGTCGTCATCGTCCGTTGTCATCAGTTAACTTTTACAAAATTCTTCTCCTCTGAAACTACTGGGCCAAAGTTAACCAAACTTGGCCACAAACATCATTGGGGAAAATTGTTTTCACAGACAAATCAGACAACCAATTGTTGGGTTGCTGCTCCTGAATTAATAATTTAAGAAAATTTTGCAGTTTTTGGTTATTATCTTGAATATTATTATGGATAGAGATACATTATAAACAGCAATAAGGTTCAGCAAAGTAAGATCTACAATTAGGTCAAGATGACCAAAATGGTCAATTGATCCCCTAAGGAGTTATAGTCTATTTTAAGAATTTTTCGTAATTTTTTGTAATCTGAAACTACTGGGCCAAATACATGAAATAGAATCAAATTTTCCAACTTTTTTTTTCAATTTTGCCTATTATCTTGAAAACTATAATCATGATAATAGATAGAGAGAAACTTTCAAATGCAAAAATGATCAGAAAAAATACTCTTTTGTGTTTGGAGCAAGAATTAAATAAGATCATGAAGATAGAGAGAAACTAAACAGACTTCATTGATCAGCAATATAAGATACAAAAAATATTTTAGTAAAGAACTATTAAAAAAACATACACAAGATAATTTAAATCATCTAGTGAAGGTATACACATGTATATATATATATATATGTGACAAAATATTACCTTCAAACTATCCTGAACCAGTTATTTCAAGACAGAATTACATTTGTATATAGTCATTATGCATTAATTAGGGAATGATGTGTAAATTTCAAACACACTGTTGTTGAACTTTTAAAGAAATATTTGATAGAGAATCATTGTAATTATCTTTTGATATAATTTATATTACTGTATCTAAACTTCAAAGTGAATTAACTTGCCATTTTCTTCTTTGAACTGTTTTCCTCCACTGCATGGTTCTTCACAAAATCACCACAAAAACAATAGTAATAAAGATAGTAATAAAAGTAGTGTATTCTTGATGAATTTCAACATTTTATATTCCTCTACACATTTAATGATGTCCAAGTAATGAGGTCATGACATCAATATGAATCCATATAGTAACCAATGAGATAAAAGAGAAATTCATTTTATGTCTTCCTAGATCTTTCATGTCTTTGGATAAAAACAGGTCGCATTTACTTGTACATGTTGTGTGTATTATGCTTAAAAACATAAAAACACAAGTAAATGTTATACATATATATACTCACCACATTCACTGCCAGATTCAATGGACATAATTAAGTATAATGGTAGTAGGTCTATTAGTGTAAATAAAAGTGAAATCATAAGAAGGATTAGAATACACAGTATTATATGTTCACAATGACATATAGGGAGAGAATTTTGAAAAAAATATTGTAAGTAATAATTTCATACTTAATGCCAATAATTGGTTTATTTTTTCTGTTTTGTGTATGGTCTGCTTAATGTTTTATTTTGAGGAGGATTAGGTGGGGTGGGGCTAGTGGGCCAGGGCGAAATTGACTAGTATGCATGTTGTGTGTTGCATGTTGCGTGTTGCGTGTTGCATGTTACATTGATCTTCGATTATTTCTTTTACAATTTTTGTAAAATTGGAAGAATTTTTAATTAGGATATACAAAAACTTTTTTGTAAAATTGGAAGAATTTTAATTTGAATATATACAAATATTTTTGGTAAAATTTCTCATCAGTCATCGTATAAATTCCCCCTTTAAAATGTCTTTGACTTACATCATGGAGTCTGCACTTCTATCAATATCTGTCTTTCATATTATTAAGGTTTAAAATATTGTCATTGAGCTTAAGT